ATCATTGTGACTGACTCTTCACATGTGCTGACATTTACATTCACTCTCTAACAGACACCCTATTGCTAAAGAACTTTTGGTCCAAATTTCATACTTACTCTTCTTCCAAAACCTACTGACTATCTTCCTAATCCTACCTACTATGCCTTTTTGACTGGATCTTCCCTACTACATTCAATCATCCAAGGTACAAGGTCCTATGCCATTGTATATGGATTTATGGAAACAGCTGTACAGAATGTAATACAAAGCTAAGTATCCCAATCAAGGGCCCAATGCCCTTCTGGATTTGAAATCTTACTTAGATTTTTGTTTTCATACATATATTTCACCTCTATATTATTATAAATATCACAGATTTCCAATACCATTGTTCACCCAGCAGAATGATTCCTAACCCAAATCGAACATGTTCTTAACCCCAAGCATACAGAGTTCCCTCAATTTAACTTTACACAAGAGCAGGGACAGAGTTGGTCTTACAATACAGGAATGTAGGGGATCTTCCACCTGCTGAGAACCTCAAAGGTTTATGCAGAAATGATCCCTAGAGAAGATGTAGGCAGCTAGGAAGGACCTGAGAGAGCCAACGTCATCTTCCGTGGCAAACAACCTTTTCAGGAAGAAGAAATGTGTCTGAATGAGCCTCTCTTTTCTTAATGTAGACAAGATGGACCAAACCAGACCTGTGTGCAGAGCTCTTCCTGGGTGCCTATGGTTGATATACCATTCTAACTTGTGAAAGTGTCACTGGAAGAAGAGGCAGAATCCATCTCATGGGAACTTTGGAAGCAACAGTTAGGACAATGTGGTTTCCAAGGCAGTGACCTCATTCAGTTCCTGAAGGAAGTGACCTCACCACACTTCCTTGGTGATGGAACTCTCTGAACTTGGGATCCAGGAAGCCAGGCACCCAGAGGCACTCCCAGTGCCAGTCCCAGTGGGCTCACTTTGTTGGATTTACCAAGGACAGAGTCAGTCTTTCTTGGTACCAACAGATGTGAGGATGGCCAATTGCCAGGAAAGCTCTGAAGGGGGTCTTTCCTGAGAAAGCAGGTAGTGGCTCACACCTGGCTCCAGACAACTTCACAGAGTTGGCCAAAGATGCCAGATCTGAGACAGGACAGGCCATTTCGAGGGAACATAGTATGGCCCACCAGTCAAATGACACTGTGGGTAGTTCCAGACCTTTTTGAGGGAAGGAGGTGGCTTTGTGGGTGTGGGTGTTAGTTTGTGGTTTTGTTTCATGTTCTGAGAAAAGATAGGAAAGTGGGTTTGTTTGGTTTGGAGTGGACTGTTTCTAGCAAGTCTTTTGACAAGGCGAGTGTTGCTATGTCTGTGTATCCCACTGTGTCCCTGGTTGTAGAATTTAGAAAAGAGAATGCATCAATGGATGTGTCCTGTCTAGTAGAAACTTTTCAGCATTCATTTTGCCCAATTTATGAATGGACTGCGGATTGCCTTTTCCAAGGGCAACACCTACTATCTTCCTAAATTCCTGTTTTCTTCCTGAATTCTGGCCACTGTTCAGAATAGGCTCATGGTTTTGTGTCCAAGATATGTACCACCTCCAAGCTTGGTGACATGGCCATGTAATGGATACCTGTAAGTAATGGCGAGCATTTCAAAAAAATCAGATATCAGTGGGCCCAGTAAAGTCTCAGTGGGGAAACCCTGCTTTGGGCCTTTTGCTTACCTATTGTTTTGTTTCCCTGGATGTCAGCAAGGTCTTTGCCTCAGGACACCCCTTTGTGAAGCCTGAAGAAAACAGTTTTTAAATGCAAACGAATGGGCATCACCTGTGGCTATTTGCTTAATTGCTTTGCAAAGGCATGTGTCTGAATCAGCCTCTTGGCCCTGTGTGAGGCTGTGGCTTAGATTGTCAGCACCTGATGGATCTCAAGAAAGATCCCATATGTGCATCCAAAGCCAATATGGCAAAAAAGCAGTCATTGTGGATGAAGTCTCTCGCCTTCCTCTGTAAGGTTCCTGACCTCCATCAAGTGAGAATAGAGATCCTTTGGGTCAAATAAGTTTTTCAAAGCCCTGCAGAGGCTAGCCAATATGTGCTTGACTCCAATTCACACAAAGAATCTATACACCACCATCAGCAGGCCTCAAAGTGGAGAAGCTGAGCAGTATTAAAGGCAGGCCTATTTGATCACTCCTGGTTCAAAGGAAGGATGTCCAGGCCACCCTGACATTAGGCAAATGAGGGGCAAGAAAGCTTATTGTGGACAGTATCTTGGGATAAGTCCCTCATGGAAACATCCAGCCAGAGGTTATCAGCAGTGTCTATATGGAAGAAGATGAGGGCCATGTGGCAGTGTTTTGGTTTGAATTGTGGGAATTTGTGTGGCAGTGGAAGAGATGACTGGGTCCACCTGAGCTTGAACTCGGGTATGAATCCCCTCGGGGACTGATTTCTGGAACTGACCTCAAAGAATTATTGCCATGAATTGTTATGGGACTTTCCGAGGCCACGCATGAGAGTCCCCCCTGGAAACTTAGATGGAAGTACAGGGTGACTTTTCACAAAACACTGGAAATCTCAGCCAGGATATCACATGATTTTATTCTTAAAGACCTGGTAGCCATAGTTGAGAGTCAAAACACACATGGACCTCACATTGTTGACCTCAGTGAGCCTGGTTTTATGTGAACTTTTGGCCACTCTTTGGGAAGCCTTGTTTCTGATAGTTCTCCTGAGCTTTCATTAAAATGATCTTCCTCACCATTTAATGGTTTGTGAATGAATGGAAACCCACAGTGCCTCCAACTTCATCCTTTAAAAATGGCTAGATAAATAGCATGCAATCTTTCAAATTCCCATGACCAGGTGGCACTGGAGATCCTTTGGATGTCCTGATACTGATCATGAGTGTACCAGACAGGTGCCTTAATTGACTGGGTTGCATGAAAATGATGTAGAACAAAGATGCCAGTAAGGTGGGGCCTGCTGAATAGTGGGCCTAGAACAGTGGTGTGCAGGTGTGTGATAAAACATCTGTGGTGGGGCCATGTGGATCTGCCATGGGCTTCCAAATGGCTTGTGACAGACATGGTGCAGC